TCATAAAAAAACATTACACCCGATCTTAAGCATGTCTGGATCTCCGCAATACAAGGTTTCGAAATGGTTATGCAATTTGCTGCAACAGGTTCTTGCCTTGTACAACAAACATTGCGTTAAAGACACGTTTGAGTTTGTGGAAAAACTTAGAGATTCGAAATTTGAATCAAATGGTTACATGTGCTCCTACGACGTAGTGAGCGTAGGCTGTGTTTACATGAAGCATTTCAACCCGGGTTGAGTTCGACCCGGGTCAGATTTCAACCCGCCATGTGCACAAAGTGAATGGCGCGTTTACATGACGCATTGCGCTTGACCCGGGTTGAAATTTCGCTCCGGGTTGATTTCAACCCTCCCCCCAAGGGGAGGGTTGAAATCAACCCGGGTCAAGAAAATCATACAAACGTACTTCTGTGCGTATCTCGCGCCAGGTTTGAACAGCACTGCAGATGCAAATTTCGCGCGAACGGATTCACATAACCATACAGGACTGTAGAAGTGGACTTTTGGCGGCGTATCAGTATTTGACCCGGGTCAACTGTCTTCATGTAAACGCTCACCTCTTTTGTCTATCGTACAGACTTTCAACCCGGGCTGAACTCCACCCGGGTTGAAATTTCTCATGTAAACACAGCCTTACTTAGAGATTCGAAATTTGAATCAAACGGTTACATGTGCTCCTACGACGTAGTGAGCTTGTTTACCAATGTTCCTTTACGAGAAACAATAGACATTTGCGCCATGGCGTTATACCATAACAGGTCTATCACTCCCCCAGATTTGAAAGAAACAGAGTTCGTGAAACTTATGTTGATGGTCACGTCTTGTGTGGAGTTTTCATTCAACAATATAATGTACAAACAGACTGATGGAGTCGACATGGGATCGCCTTTGGGTATAGTTTTGGCGAACATATTTGTTGGCTTCTGCGAGTCGTCTATTGACCCTTCACTTTGGCCATCCATGCACTGTCGTTTTGTTGACGATGTGTATTGTCACGACAACGACAAGGAAACCTGGGATAGGTTTATGGAAACTCTCAACTCCTTACATCCAGCATTAAAATTCACATCAAATGGTGAAAATAATAGTAGCCTTTCTTTCCTGGATGTTAGTATTTCTCGTAACATGGATACGCACAACATGGACACGACCATTTATAGAAAGCCAACTTTCACAGGCTTGTATATCCCATGGTCAAGTTTTACTCCAACAAAGTCCAAAACACACCTCGTCAAGGCCCTTATCTACCATGCACAAAGGATATGTTCCCCTCATCTGCTGGACGAGGAACTAGAACGACTCTTAACCATAATGACAAAGAATGGCTATTCAAAGACATGTTTAATGAAACTCATCAATCAGAAACCGACCATGGAAAAGACGATCACTTTTGGACCAGAGAGATGCCCTGTGGTACTACGTTTGCCATGGGTTGGTGCCAGTTCTTCGCGCGTCGAGAAGGAGGTGCGGAATATTGTTTGTTCCTCTTATCCGTGTGTCAAATTGTATGTCATCTTTGGGACAACCCGTGCGTTCAGCGTGAAGAAGGACGTTCTACCTACCCTAAGCAAAAGTAATTTAATATATTTCTTTCAGTGCCGAAATTGTGAAAATCGATACGTAGGTAGAACCTTTCAGCACCTGGGCGCACGGATTCGTCAACATGTACCGTTGAATCTTGTCCCTGTAGCTGCACGTGGTTCTCGGCCTGGGCGTGGTCGTCCGCCGAAGTGTCCAGTGCAGTCTGTGTCTGAGGAGGACTCGTCCAACTCCGCTATGGATACGCTTGCCGACCCCTCCACCTTTTTGTCGGGCGCAGGGCTGGAGCCAACCCAAACAACAGTCAACAAGAAGAAAAGACCGATACGGAAACCACCGAAATTGACATCTGGACAATCGAGCCCTGGACGAGTCACCAGAAGCCAATTAAGGAGACGAATTGATGAGGAATCAAAAGAACCAATACTGGAAGTGACAACAACGGCTAATGTGAAGAAACGAGGTAGACCACGGATGCAGGACAGACTGGACGTGGAGCAGCACACTGATGTCGACCCAGGCAATCGGAATTGAAGGGACGCAGGGCGTAACGGGAGAGATTCACAAGCGTCAGGATCAGAGGTGACAACGGCCAAGTCGTCGGGTCAGGGAAACGGTACCTTGGCAATCAAGTGTCACCTGTCGGGCAGTGCTAGTTGTCGTGAGCGGTATTCCCATGATGTATTCTCTGTTTTGTCGCGTGGTAGGTCTTTGTTACATCTTGCCGTGTTGAAAGCTTTGTACATACCTATGTAGACCCTGAGCTTTGTGTTCAAAAGGAGAATGTGTTGTCTTTGCAGTTGTTTGGCACTGTTCTTTCTCAGGCCCGACGACTTCGTCATTGTCACCTCCGATCCTGCCGCTTGCCAGTCTCTTCCATTACGCCCTGCGTCCCTGCAGTTCCGATTGCCTGGGTCGACATCAGTGTGCTGCTCCACGTCCAGTCTGTCCTGCATCCGTGGTCTACCTCGTTTCTTCACATAAATCGTTGTTGTCACTTCCAGTATTGGTTCTTTTGACTCCTCATCAATTCGTCTCCTCAACTGGCTTCTGGTGACTCGTCCGGGGCTCGATTGTTCAGATGTCAGTTTCGGTGGTTTCCGTATCAGTCTCTTCTTCTTGTTGACTGTTGTTCGGGTTGGCTCCAGCCCTGCGCCCGACAAAGAGGAGGAGGGGTCGGCAAGTGTATCCAAAGCGGAGTTGGACGAGTCCACCTCAGACACAGACTGCACTGGACACTTCGGCGGACGACCACGCCGAGGCCGAGAACCACGTGCAGCTACAAGGACAAGATTCAACGGTACACGTTGACGAATCCGTGCGCCCAGGTGCTGAAAGGTTCTACCTATGTACCAATTTTCACATTCGGCACTGAAAGAAATATAATTTTGCTAAGGGTAGGTAGAACGTCCTTCTTCACGCTGAACGTACGGGTCGTCCCAAAGATGACATACAATTTGACACACGGATGAGAGGAGCAAACAATATTCCGCACCTCCTTCTCGATGCGCGAAGAACTGGCACCAACCCATGGCAAACGTAGTACCACAGGGCATCTCTCTGGTCCAAAAGTGATTGTCTTTTCTATGGTCGGTTTTTGGTTGATGAGTTTCATTAAAAATGTCTTTCGATAGCCATTCTTTGTCATTATCGTTAAGAGCCGTTCTAGTTCCTCGTCCACCAGATGAGGGGAACATATCCTATGGGCACGGTAGACAAGGGCCTTGACGAGGTGTGTTTTGGACTTGGTTGGAGTAAAACTTGACCATGGGATATACAAGCCTGTGAAAGTTGGCTTTCTATAAATGGTCGTGTCCATGTTGTGCGTATTCATGTTACGAAAAATCCTACCATCCAGGAAAGAAAGGGTACCATTATTTTCACCGTCTGATGTGAATTTTAATAAATAAATAAATAAATTCGACGGGTTCGCGTACCGGGCAGGTCAAGAACAAGGAGTCGTACAACTCCCTGGTCAAGAACCACCTTTCCGCTTCCGTGGGACGCCACCACCCCATGATCAGGCGTCAGATGCGGCTCCTAAACGGTGGGGGAGGATAGATCAGATCCACCAACCATAGGCCAAAGGCCTAAATCCCATTTGCCACATCCATGTGAATTTTAATGCTGGATGTAAACTGCCGATTTCTTCACATCCAACTCCAGGTCACAATCACACCCGACCTCACCAGCCTCATCGCCATCCGCTTCATCCTCAGGATGGGGGAGAAGAGGAAGAGCGTTCAGATGAGTCAGTTGGAGAAGTTGATACCGAGGATGAAGCGGATGGCGATGAGGCTGGTGAGGTCGGGTGTGATTGTGACCTGGAGTTGGATGTGAAGAAATCGGCAGTTTACAGGTATTTGGTGGGTCATCCTGATTGTTGTCATTCGTACTCGGATTCTTCTTTCACTGTGTTGTGTCGTGCGAGTCATACTCATATTATGCAGCTTAAAGTTTTAGAGGCAATCTTCATTCACTTGTACAAGCCAGTGTTGTGTGTACAGAAGGAAAGTGTTATCACCCTCAGATTGTTTACGTATTGTATGGTGCGAGTGTTGGGAGTATGCTTGTTCCCCCCCCCCCCTCCGTTCACACTTCCTTCCGTCTGTTCAGGTTCTTTCTTTGTTTTGCTGATGCTGATGATTCACATATGCATTGTTCTTATCTGCTGACCTTGCCCCCACTGAATAGATGTAGTATTATCACCTTTTTTGTTTCGCTCTTTTTCACCTTCTTTCACTTTTATTTGTCCATATAAGATTACTGTACAAGCAGAAATATTCCACTGGAATTTAATTTCGTCTTTTTCGTCCAACAAGCTGCTGGACTAAATTAAATGCCGGACTAATATTGATTTGTCCAGCTTTTCAATACACTCTTATGATCCATGGACGAAATTTACAACCGGACGAACTCTCTTTCTTTGGAGTTGGACGAAATTATTGACCGACGAAATTTTCTGCTTATGCAGTAGTTCAAGTAGTTCCCATTCCATTGTTACGTAGATTCACTGATGATTGTAACAAGAAAACAGTTCTGAACAAATCCTCGCTTTCCCTTCTTTGTGTGCCTTGCGTTAATCGTACAACATTTTACACATACATGTCGACATAATGAAATGCTTACTGTGCAATTAGTTGTCTTTGTACCTATATTAAAACAGTGTCTCCGAAACGCTTGTTCACTTCTCAATACCTTCGATTTTGTTAGATTTTCTTTTAGTGGCTAATATCGCAATGTGACTGTATTGTGTTTTCGTACTTTCTGATACGAAGACACAAACCTCGATCGTGCATTGTCAAGTAAGTGGTCAATAATATACTGAGTTATTAATTCAGTTATTCATGTTGGTGGGTAACAGTGCTTTTATGCATAGCAACACCACCAGCCAAACTCTTGCGTTCTGTTTCAGTAATCAAATTTCGCCAATGCCCACGATGGAAGGGATGACTTACCCAAAGGCGAATCAGGGTTGTAACTCCATGATGGGAGACCGAAGGAAGCCGATACAGCTGTAATGCCTTTACACAGAAGGATTGGAATATAGTCACAAATGACAGAATAATATGTTAAATGTGAATAGCAACATATCTTCCGATCTTGAAGGTTCAACCCACAAAGCGGCTTTACTCTTTCTCAAACTGTCAACTAACAAACAGTGAGATAAAGTCGTTGCAGCTTGAAGTAATATTCAACCCATCAGAGTATAAAGCAGAATACATGTGGACAGGATGGACAGAAACGGGCGTTGCCTACAGAGCTGTCACCTGACAGCAGTGTCAATCATCTACATGAGCACAATTATCTCCCTTTTATTCCTGCCGGCAGATGAATTTTGTAATAAGAAATGATGACATATCAGCACAGGAAGTATAATGCAAAAACGGATAGCGCCGAAAGGAATTAGTATCCCTGTCCATTGCATTACATCTGGGGAAAATGTGACAAACCCTGTAAGGCTTCCTTTTCACTACTAACACCAGTAAATTTGCATCCCACCTTGATTTTCAGTAACCCGAACTTCATGATGTTCTCACTAATGTACGTAGCACAAAAGGCAGTATCCCTTAGAGGGTGAGGATGTACAGAGGAATGTGGATTGAATACTACTTATCCATGCCGGTTCCTTTTTTCTTCTCCTCCCCTTCTCCCTTCCTTGCCGTGGTTGGCTAACACCCTCTCTCTTTGTATTGGCCGGTGTTCTCACTGTGCTATGAGATGCAGTAATAAATAAAATAAATAAAATAAAATAAGCCTTATGCCAGTTGTGCAGATCCACGAAATCCGGTAGAATCCCGTAGACCCGGTTGGGTTTTGAATGTGCAGGAACCTATTGTGTTTTCCACGATTTCCACTAAGAAATGGGGCCTGAAGGCATTTCATATGAAAACCTTTTTCTGACAAAGATCTACCTAGTCATTAGCTCTACCCAATGTGAAGAAGCTGGAAAAGCGGTTGCTTGCCATAAAATTATGAGTCTAAAATTGGTCAAATGCGCATGCCTAGCACACAATGAACACCCTACCAAGTCTACGGAATTCTACGGGATTGCGTGGATCTGTACAGCTGACATAAGGTCTATTGGGTGCTAAGACTTGCGGCTACTTGAAAGCACAAAACTGCTCTACAGTCCATTCAGAAAAAGATGGACTTCTAGCTTTTGGCCATAAATGGGTCAAACTTTGAGTTTTTTTAGAATTTTTTCTGCAATCCCCTATGGAATCCTCTTCCAATTATGTTTCTGAAGTCTATTTGTCCAAAAAGCAAGCCATAACAAGAATAGGATATCGGCCAGGTTTTGCCCCAGAAGCATTGAATTGGAAAAAACCATCAAAATCCAGGCCGTTTGACCCTGCCTGCAACAGTGCATTGTGGGGTTCGAACCCCAGTTCAGGTACCCTTTTTCAAAGTTCAAATTTCGCAGAACTGCACTGTGTACAATGAAATCACGAAAAATCGCCAAATACGGGAGCTCGCCAGAGCCAGAGCCCATCTTTTTCTGAATGGACTGTAAAGTGGCTGAAATAGGGAATGTGCATCAAAGATGGTCATCCGTTAAGGGGGCAGCCTACCCATAAATTTCATATGGCATTCAATTGACCGTAACTTTGGTGTTTCTCAATGGATTTGAGTGAATTTTTGACCACACACTCCTGCCACTATGCTGGCCCTCAGGACATGATTTCCAAGTTCTTGCGCCTCACTGACAGGCTTTCCAGGCCGGAAAAACTCAAATTTCCGGCATAGTGCCACGGTGTGCGAGCCACCCAGGAGCCAAACAAATGCATTTACCTCAAGTACAATTTTTTCACATTTTCGTGCTCATTCTGTTCGTGCGCGGGACTCAAACCTAGAACAAGTCCAGAAGCAGCCATGGGTGATGGGGTAGGGCCCCTCAACGAGGCCCTGGAATCTGTCACAACGGAACGAGTGGGCGTTCTCTCACACACTTCCACAGACCCAAGTCAATTTTTGAATTTGTTTAGGTTTAGCACGTGCTACGAGGTCGTACCTTTGATACAACATCCAGTGCTGGGACCTCCACAGCAAGCCATTTCCACAGCGGTGCACACCAAATCCAGGATACCCTCAGAAACTGGCAAAGACTACCACTCACGTTTCACTACTGCCTAGTACTGAATCCTACCTGACTTCTTTACACGACTCAAACTTGCCAAAGTCACTAAATCAACGTCAACTACAATAATCAAGCCACATATCTGCAACGTAACGAGGGTGCTGGCAAAAGTCCTGCTGCACGGCGGCGGGCTTCGCCCCGCCGCCGTGCAGCCCAATACGTGGCTCAAAAACCTGATTTTTTGGATTTGGAGCAAAATTCTGCACACTTTCACGTGTTTCCATGATACGACAAGTTGCGCACGGTCTGCTCACATTCAAATACAGTGCTGCCAACAAATGACAGCGTGCAACAAAAAAATCTTTCCTTGCAAGGGCACATTTTCGGCCATAACTCTTGAACGGCTGGTCAGATCGGGACACACTTTTCAGAGAATTTGCAGCTATTCATGCTCTTTCAACTGACGTAGCAATCAATATGAATTTACAAATTCCCCCCCCCCCTTACTTTGCAGGTAGAACCAAGAGTACATAACCCCCCAGAGTGAGCAATGCCGTTCCAGCTCTGCATAGGGTCTTCATCGAGCGGAATCGGATCTTCTGATGTCATGCGTACACTCCACACCAGCGCAAGGCCGGTCTCAAGGCAGGACACCGTTGTTGTTGATCCAAGAATACCCGCGACTCCCCGGGTTCCCCTCAGATGTGTACAGTATTATGACGCAAAGATCCTAATATGCTCGACCAAGACCCTATGCAGGGCTGGATCAGGCGTTGCACACTCTGGGGGGTTATGTACTCTTGGTAGAACCCATTCTAGTACTTTTATCAGCATAATCTTATAAAGTTGACGACCTTTTATGCAGAGCTGGTATCAAGATGTGTACAGTTGTAATGGATCTGCTCCGCAAAACCAAATGAAGGGATTATGGTTACTTGTTTCTGATATTCCTTCTGACAGTTGTTTCGCTTACCAAAGGCTCGTCAGAGAAAGCGATACTGAATAAAATTGGATATGGATTTCGTCTATTCTACATTTGAATAAAATATTCTTGCATTATTGAATTGAAACTCGGGTATTGAGCCAATAATAAAAGTAGAAAGGAAAAGGACATATGGAAAGGAGTAAAGAGTAACCCTAACTCTCTAGTTACAGTGGTGGAGAGTTACTCTTTTAACTCGTTTCCATACGTCCTTTTCCTTTCTACTATTATTGAATTGCCTAATGGTTTCGTCCTCGGTTCTACAGTTTCTACCGGTACTTGATTTACAGGCAGCTGTGACGTTGCATCTATTTGATGTGTACCGTTTTGGCCCCGAGTTCTCCTGAACCACCTTGAAGACCTTTTTTTGTTTCCCACATCGGTTAAAACTCCAAGTTACAATGGAATTACAAGACTTCCTTTCCAGCATTCACCAGCTGTATTAGGGTGGAACACAGCGCACCAGCCATGATTCAAGACTGGCCACAATTACAAAAAAATCTAACGACAGTTAGTCTACGAGTTTCATCCCTTGTAAACTGAAAAATTAAATCAATGTTAGTCTAGGCACAATCTTGTCTGCATACTCGTACTCACAGAGTGAAAGAAGTAGCACGACCTCCATGTTTCTAGCTTGCACACGCACACGAGCCCTTGTTCGAAAGTCTGCAGATACAATCTCGGGGTGAACGTTTCTAGCTCCCTCTTGGACGTACCTCAAATGAAAAGAGGAGGACTGAAGCGCGAAATTGACTATTTACAACAGAAGTCTTCCATCCCTAGTGTTCTACCAAGGCGGTGTTTACATGAGGCGTTTCAACCCGGGTTGAGTTCGACCCGGGTCAGATTTCAACCCGCCATGTGCACAAAGTGAATGGCGCGTTTACATGACGCATAGGGCTTGAAAGTGATGACGTCAAAACGGCCAGGGAGTAGTAAGTTGACATCAGATTTCTATTTTTGGATCCACTAAGGTGTGACTTTGCTATTGCCTAAGTATGTGGGTGCATAGCAACCCACTCATGTCGCATGCAGGTGTGACTTTTATTTCGCCACCAGTTGTAACCCCGCCCCCAGTAGCCAAATCAGTCAGTTTCACTGGTTACATCACCTTGCTGAGAGTAAGACGGCTTGAAATGTGCTTGGATCCATACAAAAACTGGATCCAAGTGGATCCAATTTTTGAATTTTTTAAATTGTTGCTATGCTGTGACGTAGCACTTTCAAGCCCCAGGTTGAAATTTCGCCCGGGTTGATTTCAACCCTCCCCCCAAGGCCAAGGGGAGGGTTGAAACCAAACCGGGTCAAGAAAATCGTACAAACGTACTTCTGTGCGTATCTCGCGCCAGGTTTGAACAGCACGTTAGCACTAGCACTGCAGATGCAAATTTCGCGCGAACGGATTCACGTGACCATGCAGGACTGTAGAAGTGGACCTTTGGCGGCATATGCGGTGTTTACATGAGGCGTTTCAACCCGGGTTGAGTTCGACCCGGGTCAGATTTCAACCCGCCATGTGCATAAAATGAATGGCGCGTTTACATGACGCATTGTGCTTGACCCGGGTTGAAATTTCGCCCCGGGTCGATTTCAACCCTCCCCCCAAGGGGAGGGTTGAAATCAACCCGGGTCAAGAAAATCGTACAAACGTACTTCTGTGCGTATCTCGCGCCAGGTTTGAACGGCACTGCAGATGCAAATTTCGCACGAACGGATTCACGTGACCATACAGGACTGTAGAAGTGGACTTTTGGCGGCATATCAGTATTTGACCCGGGTCAACTGTCTTCATGTAAACGCTCACTTCTTTTGTCTATCGTACAGACTTTCAACCCGGGCTGAACTCGACCCGGGTTGAAATTTCTCATGTAAACACAGCCTCAGTATTTGACCCGGCGAAATTTCAACCCGGGTCAAGCGCAATGCGTCATGTAAACGCGCCATTCATTTTATGCACATGGCGGGTTGAAATCTGACCCGGGTCGAACTCAACCCGGGTTGAAACGCCTCATGTAAACACCGCCTGACTTCCCGCTTAGCATACGCTGACCCAGCCTGATTTTTTTTTTTTGCAAGTAATAATAATAATACGGGCGAACAAAACACAATTTGCCATGGCGGAGGATTGAAAACAAATCACAATCATAATGATGACGTCGCATGTGATCAGACAGCAAGAGAAGCATAGCATAGTTCGCACAATCACGGGGCAAGGCTCAACGGGACACCCTAGCCTCCACGGCAGCCAGGGAGGCACAGCCATCCATTGGAGGCTGCCAAACTCGGCGAGCCCCACGCAGACACATGACACTCGAACGCAGCAGGGCGAAAGACAGCCTGCAGCGGAGGTGGGCAATTAGCACAGAATACGCCTCCCTCCCACGTAGCGACTGGAGATGTGCAATCCGGCTCACCAGTGCAGCGGCACCCTTGCCGCATCCTCCGGTGGAAGAGAGCACAAAGGGGAGAAAAGTGGATCGCTCCACTTCTCGGACTCTCCGATCATATCGACGCCGTTTCTCTTGCTCATGGTGCCGGTAGCAGCCAGAGAGAGAGGAGGTGCGGTTCGAAGACGCATAAGGGTTGAACACCCGTACATCAATAAAAGTGCGTTCGAACCGACCCCCCCAAACTCCACTGGCCACCACATCCAAACGAGCTTGATCCTCGGTTGATGCTGACCGGAGCTGAAACTGCTCCCCAGTCAGGGGTTGGAGATGTGGCTCCACTGCGACGTTGTGGGCGACACCCTTCAATGAGCTTGCCAGTATGTCGCGCACCTCGTTGTGGCGGATCGAGGGGAACCCACCGAAAGGACAGGACAAGGCGTGAGCAGTGGTGAATGCCTTCTCGCAAACACAGGTGGTTGGCAGGCGAGAAGGCGTCCAACCGTAACGGAGGCAGAGGCCATCCCGGAATTCCCCCTTCGACAAAGCGAAGCCATGGCGAGCGATGGGTCGGCAGGTAAGCCAGCTTGATGCTCCCTTCTCCTCTGCCAGACTGATAGCGAGATCGAGTTCGCTGTGTTCGGTGCGGAACGTATCGGCAGCTATCTTCATTGCCTTTCTGGCCTCAGAGCGAGCCTGACTCTTGGCCCTGCGGACACAGGCAAGAGCATCATCGAGGTGCTCTTCTTGCGCCATGATCTTGTCTCCCCCACCTCTCTCGACCCAGCCTGATGGACTTGCTTTGTACGATATTTTCCCCTGACCTCCCGCTTTGTGTACGTTGGCCCTGGTGTATTTTGGCGGCACCTGCTCAATCTCCTCTCCTCCCCCCCCCCCCCCCACCCCATTCCACCGCTCTGTTGGTGCAACTGAGCAGTTCCTTCGCGCCCGCGCCCGCTGATTGTGTACAGCGAGATAGGAAGGCTGGCACGCTGAAGTTTTGGGGTCTGTTGTAATAGACCAATCCCGAAAAGATTGTCTGGGTTCGAAAGGGGGCATTTAGAAAAGCGATCCTGTCAGCTTTTCTATTATTGTGTTCACATGGCAGAAAAAACGACATCGCTATGCTACGTAAGTTTCTACGTAAGGTGCTCGGTATTTCACTTAGGCTACGTAAGTCTCTACGTAAGGTGCTCGGTATTAGATCTACCAACGCGTGGTAGCCGTGTGCTGTGCACGTGCACGGCAGACATTGTGTTCAGTGCATGCAGTCCGCGGATCCGTGTTCGGATATGCATGCGCGAGGAACTTCCTTCTTTGGAACTGCTTCTTGCATGAGCTGTTTTGGATATTTCGTCTCATGGCCTGGCTTTTCGTTTCGGCGCTGCTGAGACCTCCTTTCGCGGAATATTACTCAATGACAGGTGAGTTGACCAGTTGCCTTTGATTCATTTGCTTGTGTTGACTCTTTCATTGAGGAAAAGTGTGCTGATTTTGGGGCGGAATGCAATAAATAATGGAAAAGTTGACAGGATCTCTTTTCTAAATTTTGCTTTTCTGCTGCCGAGCTGCGAGGCCTCCTTTTACGGAATACTCGATGACAGGTGATCTCTAAGTTCACCGGTTTCCTTCGATTCATTTGCTTATGTTCACCTTTCATTTACGGAAACGTGTGCTGATTTTATTCGGATTTAGATCCATTTTTATCTCTTTGCCCTTGTCTACAGTGTGCGAAGAACGCGAGTTCAACTTTTTGACGGTAAGGCTTATGTTAGATGTGTTGTCGAAATACTCATATTCATTGTACATTGGTACGTTACAAGTAAGGCACTGGTCAGTGGCATACTATCGTTGGCAGTTCCCAATCTGGAGGGAAAGGTTCAAGTACCAATTGACCGAGTTTGCAAAATATATTCGCATATCAGGGGAAATCTCTATTGTGGAGAGGTTCAGTAACTTGTTTGTTTCATACGAAACAAGCCAATGGGTGCAGTTTCGTCTCGTGAAAATCTCGTACTTGTATGATTAGATTTGTTTACTCAAGTCTGGGCTGTTCGATTTGTGAGTACCGCCGGGATTGCACTGCCTCAAATAAAGTTTCGTGCCGCCAAAGCAAGAATTACGATCTGCAATCTGTTTGTAGTACCTGTAAGAATGTGGAGTACATGTATCGTACTTTCTCTGTTGCTGTTTCAGTTGCCGTCATGTTGCTAAAGAAATGTTCAGTAGAGAGGTTCTGCAAAACGAAAATTCGAACGAAGTTTCGCGACAGTCCTTGCGAAAGTGTGTGCGAATTTTTGCACGAACTTTGCGTTCTGCACATTTTCGTAGTTTGCGCGGGCCAAGTGCACTTACGCCATGACCCGATCTCACGAAATTTCCTACGACAGTTCATTTCGCGTTCCCTGCAAGTTTCGCGTCCAAAGGTGCGAAGTTTCGCACTTCATGATGTAGAGCGAAAGTTTGTACGCATTTTCGTTTTGCAGAATATCTCTAGTGACTCAATTGTTTCATACGAGACGAGTCAATGAGTCGGTGTGGCTTAGAATCTTTCGCTGTAGAAGAAATCTTTTCGTGTGTCTATTGGAGATATAATTGTATTCTCTGGTTATAAAATAGGTTAAGCTTACAGAATAAATACCATCGGTCCCTTGGTGTTCGTCCTAAAGAGGTTCGACTGGATATCATTCATACTCACCAAAAGATGTGTAAAATTTTATTATTGTCGAGTGCCTTGTATATCTCTCAGCACCTCCAACCATAGCCTTGCCCCTTTTCTCCTCGGGATTAGTGTAGTTGTTGGAACGAGGTTTTGGACTCAGCAATGTATTCGTTTACATTTTAATACATGTTTATTGTTCCTCCTTTGCTGTGTTGTTTTAGACAATCGTGGACTAACAGTTTGAAGTCATTGAACTACTTCCAAAAGTTGTATCGACATCAACAGGATTACGATTTCAGTTTCAATGTTTTGCTGGATGACCTTATCACGATAACCCATGACTATAAACCATTATAAACACAGAATCAACAAAAACATCTGCGACATGCACCTGCCGCATGGCTACATTTCTCAAATAGATCTGATCGAGGGTGGAGTAATCTGAAATATCTGAAAGGCAAGACAATTTTATGACAGAGTCATGAAATTCTGCAACAGCAACATGCACAGAATGACCTCCGTATAAAAAAGTATCACCACCACTGCTCACATGTTTCCCCGCAGAAGAACATGCAT